TTCTTTCACGTTGCCCTGATGCGTACTGCACACCGTGTACCCGTTTCTCCCTTGCTCTCTTGCGCCTCAAATCAACATTGCCCTGAGACCTGAGTGTGCGTAACTTGATGACCTTGTGCGTGTCGCGCTCCTACGTCTAGCGCCAGGTCTGCCTGTTCGCGTCCTAACTGGGCGTTGTCTGGGCACTCCGCAGGCAGCATCATCCGCTGTATGCGTCGGCTGGAGGAGCTGCTGCGCCAGATGGTGCAGGCCGCCAAGGGAATCGGCAACACCGACCTCGAGAACAAGTTCAGCGAGGGCATACGCCTGCTGAAGAGGGACATTGTGTTCGCTGCCAGCTTGTACCTGTAGCTGGATGCTGCTAGTGTACGGCTGTTATATTGCTTGACCCGCATACCGTTCACATGTTGACAAGTGATGACTGGATATACATTATCATCTGTGTGTGGGGCTGTTAATTTCGATGAGGATGCCAGACGGCTGTTGGCTTGGCTGTTGGTTGACTTTCACGATGCTTTGAATTATGGCGTGACTCACGAATATCAGAAGGTGGCCGACAAGGTCACCACCCCAGCGATGAACTGTATTTATAGGCTTATTGTGGTTCAGTTAAGTTTCACAAAAACAGCAGCATGCTCCATATAGTGTTAAAGCATTATTATTTTCAATGTAATTAACCTTCAAACCGCGGCGTGACAGCATGCATAAAGGCATCTGGAAATGACGCGCCAGAAAGTATTCATAGAATGACATCCGATTCCAAGGGTGAAGATGAAGCGGTCTAATTCCGTCCAGTGTGACTAAGTTGCAGATGTGTAAATCTCATTTGACCAGGCATGGGGCGAATTGGGAACGAATCATGGAAACTGGGATCAGCGGTGAGGCTGTGTCCTCATGACGCCATTAGTCGGCTGTCAAAGGACCTCGCTTGTTGGCGTGTGCCGCGCCGTTGCGCCACATTAGCCGCGGATTTGCGTTTTCGCGCAGGGTGCGGGCAAATGTCACTAGTGGGCTGTTCAAGCCGTGTGGTGTGTTAAGTTGTGGTTCGGGTTGACGAGGAACGAGTTTTACCCCCTGGTACATTGGCCTAAAACCAGTTATTGAGTGATGTGTGGTTGAATTAGCTGCTGCATTCGTCCAGGACAATCGGCTATCAACTAGGGTCTTTGTGGCCGGTCGGGAGTGAGGCTTCAGACGCCAGGTGAGCACCTCCCGTTGCCTATTTCATTGTATTTTGAAATACGATTCATTGTTTGTCTGTAACGTTGAGACCTCACTCATTTCAGGGTACTGTGCTAAGAGCACGTAGCGTGTAAGAAACATTGCGCCTGCATGTGACAGATTGGCTATCTTGAAATCATTGTGGCTCCAGTTACCCCTCCCCCCATGGCAGATGATGTGCGAGGTAGTGAGGTGGCAGTGTTTCTTATGCATGCACAGACTTATTCTCAAAACTTTCAATTGTATTGCATGTCTTGGCACCCCAGTCTGAAAACTGGATCCATTGGGCCAGATAAGCATAAGATTGTTGTGCTGAACCTTGTGGCTGTACATGGCAAGGTCATACCAGGCCAATTTGTGCTAAATTTTAAGATTTTGGTGTAACAAAAAGAATCTGAGTACTTTTGCTTTAAAGGACCCTTGCAACATTATGACTCCTCAAACATTTTCTTTCTATGCTCTGAAATTGGTGGCAGCCATGCACCTAGCTCAGAGAGCTCAGATTTATGATGTATAGGCCTAGAAATTGCTGTGCAACTGACGTCATGATTGTATTGACTGAACTTGAGCATCACTACATATTGTTATTATGGTTTTCATGAGTGCTGGATATTTTTAAAAAGGGGTGCCCAGCAATGTGATGTTCTTGTTTATATTTGTTTGTAATATCCCATGGTTTCCAGAACCTGAATGATTGTTAAGAAGCATTAAACTGTTAAATGGGAATTGATCATTGTAATACCCACCACTTCATTTTTTTACATTGTCTCCCTTGTTAGCCCTGTGGGAGTGCCCTTATCAAAATGCAGGCCTAAGAAGTTTGCATTTCATAAATTATATCATGAGAATAAATTGGGCATGTATCCAGGCCAAGTGTTTCTCCAGGTCTTGCTGTTCTCAAAGGCTGATGGTGATATGGAGTTTAAGGGTGTGTTGACCGTAATTGGTCATACAGTGCCCATGAGCTCTCAAATTTGATCTAAATTGTGCCTTTTGGACAGAATTAACTTGTGAAAGGAAAACAAGAATAGTGTTAAGCTACATTATTATGACCATGAGCTTTAGTCAGCCTTTGCCAACCACATATATGATCTCACAAGCAAATTGTGGAGCAGTAAATGTGTTACTGGCACATCATCCTGAAACTACTCAGAAGCTGCCAGTAACCCAGAAGGATGAAGGTTGCTGTTGTGTATCAGGATAGCTGACTGTTAGATCTGCATTGCAATCCTGGTTGAACATGGAGAATTGGGGAATAGCAGATCACTGGATTTGCTTTGTAATCCAGCTGGAAAGTAGAAACTTGCTTACATTTTGCACCTCTTCTCCAAACTAGTTTGCTGCACAGAGACCCTTTTTAACAGGTTTATCCAGTCAGATGTTTGTGCCCAAAATTTTGAAGTCTACATGATCAACATAGCAATATTGGGTCACTTGAGTGGCAATGGTGACAATAGTTTGTCATGGTATTCATCCCAAGGAGATGTTTGCCAGTTACCCCACTTATCACTCGGGATAGGCCAATTAGGACCAAGCTGAACAGTAGTCACTGTAGTGTCCAGGCACCCAGGCTTGGCGAATTGGGTGGACATGTTGGAATGTTGACTCCAGGATAAAGGGAAACAATAGCATAGCAGCCAACATGCTGCTGTCCTTTCTGTTCTCTTTTGTAATGCACCCTGGAAGGAGTCTCTTGGCATTTTTATATTTTCTGATTAATTGGTTGTGGTTGGCTAGTTTTTCAACTAGCAATTGAAACTATTGTTAAAATTTGTTGTAGTGCTTTGTGTGTATGTCATTAACAATGACTGCTTTTCTAGGTCACCATGAAAACTGAGGCATATGTGGACAGAAGCTTAGGTGAGCCTTATCATGACCTCCTGCATTACTGATCAATGCAGGAAAGAAATCAATTTTGCCATTAGAATTGTTTGTGAGCACATTGCTTAAATTTAGCATCCAGAGCACGGGTACAAGTGTGGGTTATGTGTTCGTCTCAATAAGTATGGGCTGATGTTTGGCATGGCATGTAGTTGATGACCCATTACATTTCATGCTCATTAATGATGCCAGAAATGTCCGTCACGCACAAATGGCGTCAGAGGAGCATGTCCAATTTTCCACCTCTCGCGTGACATTTCGCCGCTGCTGTCCGGTTGCAGATGACTTTATCAAGGCGAACCGCAGCATGTTCCGGCGCGGCCGGGGCGGCGTGGCGGGCCGCGGCACGGCGGCAAGACGAGGTGACCACTGCGCTGGAGCTGGGAGGGCTGTGAGCTGGCGTCGGCCGCCGCTCTGTCGGCCGGTGGGCGTGGGGCCGGACCTGGGGCTGGCACCCACACTAGGATTCGGTGGTGATAGGAGCGAGGTGTACTAACACGGTACACTATTGGTCGCTCTGATGCCATGGGATTTCAACGATGGTGTTCCGAAATAAGCTCCCTTGTGACGTGATGTAAGGGATGAACTGTGGAAAGTTAGTGCACTGAATACAAACAGCTTTGCAGTCTGACCTCGCTGGATTCGCATGTGTCTGGTGGCTCATGCTGGATGCATGTCTCGTTGTGACCAGATCTGACTGCAGTGCGTCGTCAGCGGCGTTCTGAGCACATGCTGAGCTAGTGAGACAGCTGAGCTGATCTCCCGCCGAGAGTCTGCTGCTCTCCCCAGCTGCTCTGGCTGCTGCTCTCCCCTGCCACTGTGGCTGCTGCTCTCCCCTGCCACTGTGGCCGCTGCTCTCCCCTGCTGCTCTGGCTGCTGCTCTGTGGCTGCCACTGTGGCTGCTGCTCTCCCCTGCCACTGTGGCCGCTGCTCTCCCCTGCTGCTCTGGCTGCTGCTCTCCCCAGCCACTGTGGCTGCTGCTCTCCCCAGCTGCTGTGGCTGCTTCTCCCACTGTGGCCGCTGCTCTCCCCAGCTGCTGTGGCTGCTGCTCTCCCCAGCCGCTGTGGCTGATGCTCTCCCCTGCTGCTCTGGCTGCTGCTCTCCCCTGCCACTGTGGCTGCTGCGGCGGTGCCGTGACCGACCGACTCTTGACCCGCAGGCGCCCGGGGCACCGCCCGCGGGCAGACGCGGGGCGCCTCGCGCGGGCGGACGCGGGGCGCCTCTCGCGGGCAGACGCGGAGCGCCTCTCGCGGGCAGACGCGAGGCGCCTCGCGCGGCCGCTCCAGCTCGCGTGGCTCGGCCCGCGGCCGGGGCGCCTCCCGCGGCACCATCCGCGGCCGCGGCCGCGGCGGCGTGAGGGGCAGCCGCGGGCAGCGCGGCGCCTTCGGGCAGCGCTGGCGGGCCGCCAGCGCGCGGATGGGCAGCCACGTGGTGGGCGCGACCCGGGCCGCGCCGGCGTCGCCCCTGAAGCGTCGACAGGTGAGGGCAGCTGCCAGTGGACCTGTGTGGAACGGGTCTGGCGTGCGGATGGGTACAGAACACAGGCACGTGCCAGGGCTGGGGCTGAGCTCAGGGTAAATGAGGGGCACTGAATGATCCGGTCATGCTGGTTACCAAGCATCCAGGAATGTCGAATGTACCATTGTAAGAGAGTGATTAATTATCTCGATTAAAAAATGGCAACAATTAAAAATGAAGTTGTCTTGAAAGTGGGTCAATAAGGGAATGTGAGGACGTTTTAGCAAAGAAGTTATTGGCTTCTTCTGTAGCCTTAGTTGGTCGCCTGATGACCGCGCAGTGGAAGCGCCCTGAAGTGCCAATTACTACAACTCTGTAGCATGAATGGCAGTGATATGTTTTCCAACGTCCATGATTGAGCTGGTATTGGTTGGCTTGGCATGCTGATGTTCGGTTGTTTCCAGTTGGCCGTGAAGGCCGTACGCGGCACGCGGCTGGCTGGCCGACTGGGTGTCCAGGCCAACGGTCTCAAGGTGAGCTCATCAGCTAGTACACGAGAGGACACGTTAACACTGGAAATGGTGCAGGCTTTTCTGGCCCTGCGCGGCTCTCTTACCTCCGGTCTCATTTTCGGTTAATTACAAAACAAAACATTCCATCAGTTTTTTTCTGGAGTATTGCGAGCGTCGGGTAGCATTCTGTAGCATTCGGTAGCAACTGTAGTGGTTGCACTCTTAGGTATCCGTACAAGTTGTTGACGTGTTTGACGAATTGGATAGTTGATGGTCGAATTGACGTACTGGCCACCGTCTGACTGCCCCCCCCCCCCCCCCCCTCCCCCGTTACCGCACACGTCGCGTGCTGCGACTCCCCACCGCCGTAGCTCCCTGGATTCTGAATACCCACTGGCGTGACACCCTAGAGTCCGACTCTCCACCGGCGTGACTCGCTGGATTCCGAATGCCCACTGACATGACTCCCTACCGTCCGACTCTCCACCGGCGTGACTCGCTGGATTCCGAATGCCCACTGACGTGACACCCTAGAGTCCGACTCTCCATCGTCGTGACCCCGGCGTCTCCTGCAGCACGTCACCACACTGGCGCTGAAGAAGAAGCGTCTGGCTCTGCAGCAGCTGACCAGCGCGAGCCGCCAGCTGAGCCGCGTCGACGCGCGCAACCAGATCCTGATGAAGCGGCGGGGCATTGCGGTACGATGGCGCGGGCGTTACCGGCCCGTCCGCTCCGCCCCGGACCCAGCCGAGCCGCCGCGCTCCGTACACCGGCAGCACTGTGTCGGGTGTCTGGCTTCGGTCTTGATAGAGGCGTCTCGTGTGTGTTCCTAAATCCGGGATCCGTCTGCAGCGGTTTGAAGTGTTGGATAACGTGTCGTAGAGTGGCGGAGATGGTGTTGGTCTGATGGTAGTTGCTCACGAAGCACGGGCCGCCGATGTGTCTGTATGGTGCAACGCTCGTTGCACTGGTCGAGTGACGCTCATGCTCTATTCCGGTCTCTCACGCTTCGTTTCTCTTTATTTTTTATGCCTACGGTTTAGCGGTTCATCCTGTGCTTGTGCCTGTGTCCGTCCCCGTGTGCTGACTCGCCGGGTCGGTCACTCGTGCCTGACCGTCTCGCCCGTCGCCGCAGGAGGAGGCGGCGCCGCGGGCGGCCCGTCGCGGCCGCGGCGCCGCCGCCGTCGGCCGGCTGCCGGCGCGTCGGCCGCTGGCGCCGGCGGGCCGCGTCCAGGTGATCCACGAGCGGGTGCCGACGGCGGCGGCGGCGGCTGGCCGGGCGCGCCGTCCGCTGAACCGCAGCCGCCTGGACGTGTCGGCGCCCTCCGGCGGCACGCTCCTCACCGTACAGTTCAAGAACGACCTGGCCAGGCAGCGCCGACAGCGTACGTGACCCCGCGCACACCCGCGAGCATGGCGCTCAGTCGTGTAAATGGACCGCGTGGAGGCTTGAAAGTGTATGGTCTGGTCTGGAAGCACCAGGTGCATTGGGTCCGCTGGGCTGTGTGAGATGGTGTTTGGGCTTGGGCAGTAGCAGTACTCATCGCCGTGGTGCTCATGTTTTGTGGTAATGTGAGCGACCCGTGACAAGCTGCGTTGTTCCGGCTCCCGTGTGTGGAGGTTAGGACACACTCCATATGGGTTATTGCTTGGAACAAATGTTGGCATCAGCCTGGGCAGCTGCGTTGGACGCCATCACGCGGCGTGATCACTACGTGACGTCGTTGCGTTCCTCAGAGCTGCCGATGGAGCTGGACGATACGCTGGACGAAGACCCGCCATCGCCTCCCCCGCCGCCGCCGCCGCCGCCTCCGCCGCGCAATCGGACCGGCCTGGACCCGCGCATCCAGCAGGAGATCGCGGCCATCCAGGCGCGCGGCCGCGCCCAGCACCATCTGCCGGCCACGGCGCAAACGTCAGGTGTGGGAAACTTCCGTCCGGCGGCGGCTACCAGTTCGCGCACGCTGAACGACCGCTTCACGTCGGACAGGGTGATCTACTCGTGAGCGCGGGCCCGCGCCGTTCGCGCATGAGACGACACCGCTCTGCGACGCACTGGCTGCAGGGTGTGGACTGACTGGCCGCAGTGGCAGGCACGTGGGTCAAGTCGCTGTAGAGTGAGTTTGGTGGCCTAACGTTGTTCCGCTTGTGTTTCCTTAATCGCGCCGCACCGGGTGCCGGAGGGTCGTTATGCTGCGCCTGCGCCTGTCCTAGGACCTGTGAGACGGCTGCAAAAGGCGGTGGTTAGCTGGCGGTGCCAAGTCCACGACTTCGCCGATCTGATGTAAACTCCTGGAGGCTTGAAAAGCGACGAACGGAGGGAGCGGAGATATTTCATTGCAATATATTGCGCGGCCCTTGACTGCGTGTTAAATCGGAGTGCAAATAAATGAGACCTCTGTCTTCCTCTGGAACACCGCGTTTTGGTAGGTTCCGTCTCTGGCTTCCGCCCGTTTCACCGTTACACGATTATCGGCGATCTGCCCACTACCGTCGGAAAAATAAATCGTTAATTGTATGCGTGTATTAGCCCGATATTCGTTTTTTTCTGTTCAATTCGGCCGCACTGAATCGGATTTGAGTCCAAGCCAGCTGATTCACTCGGCAACGTGCGGGTCATGCTGCCGTGCATTTCGTTGCAACGCAGACGTAGCGGGCCGCCACTGCCGTGAGCACAGAGTGGAGCTGCAGCAGGTGGTGGTGTGGGGTGCGGCGTTGGACGGTGCAGGAACATTGAGGTGTTTTACCCCGTCAGAACTGAGAATTTAGCCCGTCAGAACTGTAAGAGTTTCTTTCCCCCGTCAGAACTGAAAGTTTGTTTTACTCCGTCAGAGCTGAAACAGTTTGCACTGTCGGAACTGAAGCAGTTTCCCCCGGCGGAACTGAAGGAGTACTCAGTCAAAGCTGAGAGTTTCCCCGTGAGGACTGTAAGAGTTTTAACTGTAACTGTAACTGTAACTGACACGTTAACTGTAACTGACACGTTAACTGTAACTGACACGTTTTCTCCCGTCAGAACTAAAAGATCACGAGCTAGCCTAATGGGACTTAGGGTCGATGGTATGGCCACGTCTTGGCATGGTCACATGGCCTACCCTGTTGATAATATGTTCGGCTATCCGATTTTCGAAAGCGTTTTGTCTCATACGCCGAAGTCTCGTAGAAGTGGCCAAAGTGAACCATGTGATGATAGCCGAATTGCTTGCGAAAACAGTTATGACCAGAGGTGGATTGGAGATCTCAACCACAGTTTGTGTCGGAGAGACAAAACATACCGCTTGTACTGCAATGCTCTGATCGATATTTGCAAAAAAGCAGTCGTAATAAGTCGTTGCATCATATTTACAAGCAGGCATTCCGCGTTCAGTGTTTACATTTACCCGTTTGTAAGAGTCTGCATCCACCACCGAGTAACAAATATGGAGCATCCTTCTTTGGGTGTCCCACAGTGGGTTACCATATTGAGACGCAAAGCGACGCGGGACATTTGAAAGCCGTCCTCATAAATCAGAGGGCTCATATGTATGTACCGAGGTTTTCCCCCTCCTGAGCACGCTGATGAAGTTTTTCCAGCGTTTCGAAATTCAGAGGCTAGAGCTTCAACCACGAGCTTTCCCTTAAGACCTAGTCTATCGGTGTCTCCTCAGGATATGAAACGGGGCTTGTCGTATGAAAATTGGGTTGCCCCGGTTTTGGGAAGGACAATAGAAAATGCAATAATTTGACCGCAATGGACATCTTATGTATGAGGACAGCGCGTGCGGTGTGCAGGGGACTTTTTGCTTGGGCCTCGCGTGAGTGTCGCTGCTGATTTGCTCTGAATATTCACTATTACGACGCTCGCTGCTGAATATTCACTATTACGAAGTAAGTGTGGGATGTGTTGAGGATGGGCGTGGCTTAGCTCAGATACATGCTACTTATCTGCTGCTGCGAGTGTTCTTGGTATACCCCATAGCTTTTGGAACTTGCTGGATATGCTCCTCTTCTCTTGGCACGAAAGCCTCAAAGTTTTAAAGCCTACAGGCTATAGATGCATCCGCAAAAGCGGCATATCACAAGCTCGCGCTCCATTACCGACAAAAGCAGTGCGTCAGTGTCAGTCTAGGCCCGCCCGTCGGCAACACAAACGCCGTGCGTACATAAGCGGTGGGCGGCGCCGTGCGTGCACCAGACTCAGCATCCGCCGCCATGAAGATCGCTCTCGCCTTCGCCGCGCTTCTGGCACTCACTGCTGGCCATGACCGCAGCGCCAAGCCGACGCCGCCCAACTTCAAGTGCGAGTGCGCCATCGGCACGCACGATGACAACTCGGTCCTCTTCCGCTTCCACAATACCTGGGACAAGGACTGCGACGAGGAGGCCGACAAGCTCTGCATGGAAGAGTGCCACACGCAACGCGACGTGCTGGAGGCGGCCGGTGGCTGGGAGATGGTGGTGCCGCATCGCTTCGGCGGGGACGGCAACCAGACGGTGGGAGAGGTCGCCTGCGCTAGTCTGGGCCGTGACGAGGACATGGGCATCCACACATCGCTCTACCACGACGTGTGCGGTCACGACCTGCGCGAGAGCGGGGAGGGCTTCCATGAGCCACTCTGCTGCAAGGACGGCATGCAGATGACCTGCGACCACCATTAGGCGCCGGCGCCCACCTGTTCCGCCAGCCTGCTGGGCGGTGACGGCTCTCGCGGAACGAGTCTGTGCGGTTCATTGCTAGATTGGTGCGTTTTATGTTTTGTGAGCTAACCATGTGAATAAAGATTTGAAATGCTAAGTTTGCTTCTGGTTTATGCAAAGTTCATGTTGTTGGCACTGATTGGAGTGTAAAGCCGAGTTAATTTCCCTGGCACCTGGCTTCTGAGCGACTATGGACGCTTCAGCTACAGCGATTTAGGACGCCTATGCCTGAAACAGTGAGAAAGCCTTTTTAAGCCATTTGTGCAATCGAATACAAAGTGCGTTGAGTGAGCCGGTGTATACTCTTTGCGGGCATAGCCTACTTTGACCTCCGGAAGCCAACAAAGCGGCCTTGTCTGGCCTGTGAACGCTACTCAAAGCTGTATAATATCACCTGATCGGCGGCGCGGCGCCCATGTCAGCATTTCAGCATCCCTATTTAACCTGCGTAGAGGGTTGCATAAATTCTTTGTCCACTTCCTGAACACTAAATGTGAGACCGAGAAGGTCACCCATAGCAAATGGGATCACTGGGGAACTACCAAAAAGTGCACGATGACGGCATTTTGACTACTATGTGAAAAAATGCAACCGAGATTACCATGGCAACCTGTGTAGATATCCATATCCATCGATTTTACCCAAGTTTGGCCATGTATTCATGGACCTGACACACACCGGTGAGTGATGACCTAGTTTGGTCGTTCCGGCGCCGCCTGCCCCACATGTCGGCGATGAATGGGTGAATCAAACATTCATATAATCATTTGAGCACCCCCTGTCATCGTGTTCACGATGAACTCACCAGGGTCATGACCCAAGTCAGGTCAACAGCAAGCTGACACCACTTAAGTAGCATTCACAACACCTACCACATAGCTCGACGTAGCACAAAACGCTGGGTCTAAGAATGATATATTTTTATACTTGGCTGGGTCGGGTCTCATCACAGACAGGTACGACGCATTTGCTACTTTTCACATTTTCCGAGAATAGCGTTTCACGAAGTGTGGGAGGATAGATTCCTCGAAAGAAAAAAGCTCATCGGCTTACTAACATTTCAGCTCCAATTATCGTCAAAGTCGTCTGGCGTTGACTGACGACATGACAAAGCACCGGATCTCTCGAGAAGCATTTGTCGTTGTTTCATTTCATTCATTCATTCATTCATTCATCCATTCATCAGAAGCATTTGTTGCCGAAGCCCCACTCCGGAAGAGCGCTGCAGTTATGCTGACGTAGCGAAACGTTCGGTGCTGGATTCGCCTTCCAAATGCGTGTTCGTGTATGGCTCGTCAAAGCGGGCCCATTGACTTGATTACCGGGCGGCCGGTCAGAACCAAAACAGTTTCCCCCGTCAGAACTGAAACAGTTTAATATGTTAGAACTAGAAGGGGTTTTCAGTCGGAACTGACAGGGGCCGATCCAGGATTTCGTCAGGGGGGGGGGGGGAATATACAACATTGTGGGGCCCCTGGAGCTTAGGGCCCGCTCCAAAATATCTTTGCGTTTTGGACGAAAAACAACAACATTTTGAGACCAGTCGTATGCAACACACACACACACACACACACACACACACACACACACACACACACACACACACACACACACACACACACACACACACACACACACACACACACACACACACACACACACACACACACACACACACACACACACACACACACACACACACACACACACACACACACACACACACACACACACACACACACACACACACACACACACACACACACACACACACACACACACACACACACACACACACACACACACACACACACACACACACACATATATATATATATATATATATATATATATATATATATATATAGGAGTACAACATACCTTAACATTCAAAATACGCTAAGAACGTGGTGCACTAGTATAATAAGTGTCCAACACTCAATATATGTATGTATATATATATATATATATATATATATATATATATATATATATATATATATATATATACATACATATATTGAGTGTTGGACACTTATTATATGTTAGAACATGTATTGATATAGATTTGTATGTACATGTAGGTATATATGGCTACACATAGATATGTAGATAGACATGTATGCAATATATGTATTTACCTATTCATCTATTTAATAAATACAGAAACCATCTTGCTGTGCACAGCCCTATAACGGATAGGCGTGCTACGCATGCATACACGTATAACTCACTCATTTTCTACATATCATTTTAAATACTGTGATTTTGAGGCTAAGTGTTTCGGAACAACAGGCAAAATAAACTTGAGTTAGCTGCTAACAACAATCAAAACCAAGCACGGAGTTGATTCCTAGCTTACGTATTTACGGCTGGCTGACTGGGCGATGTAATCAGCTGTTGGCTGATCACTAAGTGCTGAATTTTTCGTTTGTTATGAAGGAGTACAACATACCTTAACATTCAAAATACGCTAAGAACGTGGTGCACTAGTATAATAAGTGTCAAACACTCAATAGCTAATGGAAATGACACATATGACGTCGGCGGCATGTAAAATTACGCTCGGCAATTGCGCGTAAAGAATCATGGGCACATATTCGACTGCTGCTCTAACGCGAAGACACCAAGGCCAATAGGGACGGAACCTGAGCGATCATAGGTGCCGCAGGAGGCCAACAAACTGGCTCTCGTCAACAACTGTAGGGTTCTTAGAGCAAGCAAAAAGAATCCAAGA